TTATACAAATAATGAAATAAATGCTATAGTATTAAATTGGAATCAGAAGCATCACTGTGAATTCATGGTTTTTAGTTTTCTGTATCTATATATAGATACTGATCGATACATAAAAGTGTGTGTATGTATATACTTGCATATATTTCCTAGCTTGTCTACTGAGAAGGCCTAGAAACAATGGCACCCCAGTAGCAACAAACGTAACTAGCAACCAGCGCTTGCTTTCTAAGTACCATTGCCAAACGAAAGGAGCCAGAGTTGATTCCAGAGCTGAGGCAGGGAAAGCACAAAGATGAGCTTGAAACAACTTGTAGTGCCACAAGGTAAGAAACTGCTAAAAAAATTATAAGGGCACATCAAAAGGACATAGGGACCAATTTAAAGGAGCTCACAACGGACAAATCTGGGACAATCTGTGCAACAAAAAAAGGAAAAGAAGAAAGAATGACACTAAGAAATTAGATCTGACAGAATAAAATAAAATCTCCACAGAATTAAAAGTTAAATAAGTATAAATGGAAGAAGAGACAACTCTTCCAGCAGAATTACTGCTAATAAATGAAGAAATGATGAAAACAGAAAACCGCCATTTCACAAACACTATAGAAAAATAAGTTTCATGCGAGAAACACTGATGCGTGCTAAAATTAATGGATGAATGTATGATGAGAAACAAAGCATTTGTGTAGTCTCAAAGTATCCCTCCACAAGAGGCTTATCAAAGGGAAAAACAGTAACAATTACAATTGAAAAGCCTGACAGACACCACCTTAATGAAAGGATCAAAGTTAACATCACCAGTAGCAATGCGTATCAACAAAGGAACCCTGGTGGAGCAACGGTTAAGTGCTTGGCTGCTAACCCCAGGCAGTCCAAACCCAAAAGGCCTAGTGATCTGCTCCTGTAAAGATTACAGTCTAGGAAACCCTATGGGGCAGTTCTACTTTGTCATATAGGGCCGCTATGAGTCAGAATCAATAGCACACACCACCACCACCACCACCACATATCAACAGCATGTACCCTCGATAGGATGAATTGAGAAGGATACAACATTACTTCTGTTAATAATGCAGAGCCTCAATCTAACCATGAGAAAACATCAGACAAACTCCAACTGAGGGATATCCTACAAAACTGGCCAGGACTATAAAAAGTATCAAGATCATAAAAGACAAAGAGAGCCTAAAGAATTGTTCCAGGTTAAAGAAGACTAAGGAGACATGAAAATTCAGTGCAATGTGGGACCCTAGATTGGATCCTGGACCAGAAAATGGACATTAGTGGGACAACTGGCAAAATTCAAAAAAGGTCTGTATATGAGTTCATGGTATTATATTAATGTTAATTTTCTAGTTTAGAGCATTGTCCTATCTATGATTATGTAAAATAGTTACATTAACAGAAACCACATGAGGGATACGGAGAACTCTTACCATTTTAGAAATTTTTTTGTAAGTCTAAAATTATTTCAAAATAAAATTATACATTTTCTCTTCCAGATGAATTTTAAAATCAACTTGTTACACTGTATTTTAAAATAGTTGAAATTTCATTAGGATTAAATTGAATACATAGATAATTCTGGAAGAATTAGTCACTTTAAAACAATGTATCTGCCCATTCAGGAATATGGTTATTTCTTTCCATTTATTCAGGTCTTCTTTTATGTCCTTCAGCAAAGGCTTACAATTTTATTCAATATAAGACTTCTGCATTTTTTTAGGTTGATATTTAACATTTCTGTTGCTATGATAAATGGGACTTTTTTCCCCTTTTCACAAGTGTGCTGCTGTACAGAAAAAACATTAATTTTATATGTCACTACTACATCCACCGTAAACTCTTATTAGTTTCAGATTTTGATATCAGGATATTCCCAATGCTAAAGTGCAGTGATTATTTAATTTTAAAATAAGAAACAGTTTAATAATAGTAACAAGAAAGTTTTCTGATAGTAAAGGTCATTTAAAATAAACATGCAGTAGACCGTTGTAAACCTCTGGAGAGCTTCAAAATAAAGATAGTGCCTCATTTGTTTATTTTAGATCAAGGACTTAACAGAAGACCAGGGAGAGAAAAAATAGATGCCCTTGCCTGGACCTCGCCCCCACTATGGTTTAATACTGATTTTTGCTCCTTCAGTCCTAACTCAAGGTCAAGAGGACTTGAATGTACATTTCCAAAAAACATTTTTAACATTGCGTTCTCCAACATGCTTCTATAGCCTCCAGAATCCAGAAAATACTTCTTGCCCAGCCATAATAAGCATTTCCTAGGGAAAAAGGCATAAACGTTTTTAAAGAAAGTTTTGCTAATTCTTTAGCATTCACTCAATGACTTTCAATTATTTAATATCTCACTGTGAATATTGTAAATATCCTTATAAACATGTAAGTTGAATTTCAATACCTGTTAAAATTTTACCAATAGTTTAAAGTATATACAAGTGGCAGTTTCTTTTAGGGATAGGGGTTAAGGGAAGACAACTTTTTAATACTTTTGAAAAATTCTGTCTGTTTTTTGAAGAATACAAAATTGAACTGATTGTATTCTTCAAATTCTCAAAATAGGTTTAACACAAAAGCAGAGTTCAAGATTGTTTAACGGTGATTTACCAAGGCTATGAAAAGCTGAAGTCAATTTTTTAAACAAATATTTCCTAAATTTCTATGATTGCAAGTTCAAGTACATAAAAATCAAGTTTCCTTTGTCTTTGCAACAAAGCTTGGTTTTAATTGGAAACAGTAGAACAAAATTTTTCCATATTGCGGGAGATATTATTACCCAGTTTCAGAGCAGTCTCACTAGATTACCAGCTTCAATTTACAGAGGAACTTAGCTATGATTTACTGGACTTACATAATGATAGTTGGCATAGAACTCAACATATGAATGGTTAAATACCAAGTATTTTCACCAATCATCTTATGATATAACTTCATCAAGATTTAAAATTCCATCTGCTTTTTTCCCAAACTAATTCAACTAGGTTCTAGTTAAGAGAGAAAAGGCACATACCATACAGATGTTTTATGAAAAACGTTCCCACTCCTTTCTCAAGTTGGTCTGTATTAGTGAAAAGCCATAATGTGGGAATTATTATGAAGAAAAGATTCAGAAAAAGCAGTAGTTGCTCTTAAAGACCAAAGGGGGAAATAAACCCCCCAAAATCACGTGTTTTGAAATTGGAAAAGTTTCAAATGAAAACTGTGTTCACTGTCTGGACTGTCTGAAAGACACGGGTGTCTAAGATCATTAATAACTGTTGTTTCACATGAGTCTGGCTCTGGTGAAAGAGAATGTCCGATCTGTTGTAGAAGACTCTGTGAAAGAGAATGTCAGATCTGTTGTAGAAGACTCTGTGACTGACGAGGAAGTTTTGGCTTGGAGATCCTGCCCTGAGACCCTGGGGAGTTGCCAGCCCCAGCCCTGACCAGCAGCTTAGGATCTAACTGTATGCTGGAAACTACAAGGGCTTCTAAAGAAGCAAGTAAGTTCCTAGCATGAACGTCAGATGAGTCAAAACTGGGAGGGGAAAAATTTTTTTTTAAACAGCTTTCAGACAACTAATGAGAAGGAAGTTTTGGCCTTGACCCAGCAGAGGGTGAATGTTCCCCTGGAAAGACATTATGTGAACTGATGAGAAAATTCTCCATAGTAACAATTCTAATTATTCAAAACTAGGAGTTGTTTCTCTAAGGTTAAGAGCTAATGTGGTCCTCCTGTTTAGTATCATTAAAAACTGGTTTCTTCTTTTCTTTGTATCTGCTTACCCAGGCATTAATGAAAAGCTTATAGCAAAATCTTCACAGCAATGTTAGGAAATAGGTTCTATTTTAGGGTGAGTTTGCTATTTTGCAGACTTAGTTTAAGGGAAAATCAGTAATAAAAATTTTACTGAGTTTCCATATAACCAAAACGTTGTGGCAATCCATTTATTCTTCTACAGAACTACTGAATTAAAAGAGTTAACTGTAATTCAGTGACGTTTTGGCAATACACTTATTTTAATAAAATTAAAACTCAAATGTTATTTGATACAGGGCATATACAGTAACTCAGAAGTCAGAGTATTCAGCCATTCCCCAACTACTCTGGATTAACATGAGTTTACATACAGTGAAATGTCATATTTCAGGGAAATCAAGCCATGCTAACAGATTTTTATGGCTCAATAAGAAGACAATACTTAGTTTCTTACATGAGAAATAGGGTGTAATATTCAGCAGTAACCAAAACAACTTACAGGAGTTTATCGCATGGAATTCAATGTTATTAAGAGTAACAATGACCACATACGCACCAGAACTCTACAAGTAGGAATGAAATCCTAGCCAAATTAAGTAGCTCTCGTCATAATGAAAACTAGCAGTCTGGCATTAAGTAGGGGTACACCTGTTATGGGTAAAATTTGATACTCAAAAAGATGAGGACCAGTCAGCCAGCAGTTGGTAAAACATATAAAATGCAATCTCATATGGGAAAAGGGAAAGAGCTTTCTAGAAACCAAATTCCTGAGCACACCTGCTATCCCTCCATGTCTGTAATTTTGACTGCTTCCAGATCTGAATAACCTGTTAAAATTATGAACCTTAAAAGTTTCCTGGGGGAAGGATTTGGTTCAGAACCCAAACTCAATTATCAAAGTTACTTTTCCTGTGAAAGCTCAGAAATGTATTTAGACCTTAGTTTAAAATACATATACATGTAATTGATATCACTAAATTGTACACGTGAAAAATGTTGAATTGGCAAATGTTGCGTTATAGATTTTTTTACAAAAAGGTAAAAAAATATGTATGTACATATGTGTATACATGTATATACACACACACACTTCCATCCCACCAGTTTCTCATAGCTTCTGGTATGCTATTTGTTCTAACCTAGATCAACCTCTCTGACCCATCCCAAAGAAATGAAAGCTGCCCAGCTTGGAGTGGGATCTTGCTGCCCAATGTCCACCACATTTGCTCAATTCATTCTTGTATACATACCTGTTTCCTTCTTGCTTCCCTTTCCTCCCTCTCGGCTCTTCTTCAGAACAGCCTTTAACATTTTCAATGCTTTTTTGCTTCTAAAGAGAAAAAAGGAGGGGGGTGGGGAGGAAATAAAGGTTGTAAGCTGGAATATAACTTGAATACTGACACAGAAGGTAACTTGTGTTCAAACAAACAAACTGCTTAGGATAATATAAAGGTACCTCGAGTTTTACATTAATTTTCTACTATTAAACTAAGAAGGGAAACTGAATGCTGAAGACACAAGAAATGTTTTATAATGTTTAATGAAGTGATCAGAGTTCACTGTCTTGTTATAAAAGATAAAACACACACACACACACACACACCAGTGCATTCTCAACATTCCACATCTAATTAAGGTTATGAGGCTAAACCTGGGCACATTACTGTAAGATGTCTGGCACAGGCTTGCGGGTCTCCCAACCCCAGTTCATTAAGAGAACAGTAAACCACGGAATCTAAAAAATAATGGTTAGGAAGGAATCTATGTGGTTAAAGGCATGTTTTACAGGTGCTACTAATTATATAACCACAAGGAAAACATTTTGTAAGTTATTGGAATGAGTATACCTTATAAGTATTTGCAAAATAAATACAGTGGGAACACATTTGAACCCTTATGTCAGGGACCCAACTTAAACAGCACCCACTACAGTAGGCTTTTACTACATATAGTTATGACTGGGGGCACAGGGGGCTGGAGAGTTAGGTAGAATAGGTCTGTGGCATTATACCTGAATCCTTTTAATACTGAGCTGTATTTTTTTTAAGCAGGATTGTACTGAGCTTGTAAAACAACACAATTGCCCAGGCCTAAGATGAAACATGAAACCATCTCGACAGCAAGAGAAACAGACAAAAGGATCATTATTTCATCATGAAGTTAGTCTCCTTTAGCTCCTTTCTTCCCTCCACTAATTCAGATGGGATGGATGGACAATCCCGAACAGAAACAAATCTGAGACTAACAGCAGTGGGTTGTGTTACCCATCACATCCGTGCTAACACACTAAGAGAAGAAAGTAGAAGACAAGTTGAACCTGAACAGGCAAGAAAGAACAGCGAGCGGGGGAGGAACCTACCAAAGATGGTGGCTTAGTAAGACACACCATACCATCCCTCTTCAACAAAGACCCAAGAAACCAACTGAAACAGATGCAGATAACAATCCTGGAAAGGAACCCAGAACGTCAAAAAGGAAGGATAAAGAATTGAATTGGATGCTGACTGGAAGAAAAAACTGAATGAATGCAGCGAGAGAAAAGTGACAAGGAATGAAGGGGCTCTGCCAGCTGTCCCAGTTCAATGTGGCCATCTTGAAACAAAGCCATTAGTGACCCCGGGTGAAGAGCATGACATTCCCATAAGAGACAGAGAAACTGTATAAACACACCTAAAGAGAAGCAAGGTGAGCAGATCATGATTGGATCTAAGGAAGGAAAACTCAGAAAGGAGGATGAGAATTCCATGGATCTAGCCATCCACAGAGCAGGAGGGAGCCAGGATCCAGAGCCAGTGATCTACACGCAAGTGGCATGCATGAAGCAGTGGATGAGCAAAGTATCGGCGGGAGGTCACCCCCAACCAGACTCCAGACAGCCCCTGCCCCTCCTCTCACTTGGTCGAGGGCAGGACCTGAGTGTTGACTGAGGTGGACAGGAAGTGCACAGGGACCAACGTGTGCTAGGCAAGGGGACACGTGTTCCCTCCCCCTACCTTCCTGATGGAATGCAGAGGAGGCTCCCATACCCCGGCCACCCTGCCCAACCAGAGACCATAATACAGGCTCCCTCTCCCCCATCACCCAGCCCTGTCCATCACCACCCCCAAACCACCCGAAGAGGTCAACAAGCATGTTCCCATGCTCTCATCTAACTCCCACTCGAACCCCACCGACCAGGCGAACGGTGGTGACCACGTGACCAAGTACATGCCCACCCACCACCCACTCCCCCACCAGATGAACAGTGGGTGGTGGCGAACGCACACACACATGCCTGCACCCACCACCCGCCTCCAACCTAGTGAGAGGCAGTGACTACGTGACTGTGCGTGCACCCATCCACGACCCACTCCCTCCCTAAACCAGCAGGAGACAACAACCACGTGACTGCACCCCAATACCCATCTGCAACACAGCAAGAGGCAACACAACCACATGTACCCCCCCGGCACCCTCCACTCCCAGAATCGACAAGCAGCAGAGGCCGCATGAATGCACCTGCCTGCCACACACCCACTGACACGGCAAGTAGTGGGCAAATGTGAAACATGCACACACGTGCCCACCACCCATACTCCCCCGACCAGCAAGTGGTGACGTCTGCACCTACTATTCACCTGCCTCACTCACCACACCCCGTCCACTTGGCGAGTACCACTATACAGTCAGGTACCAGTGGATCAATGACAGATGGCGGACAATGAGCACCAAGCCCACCCTCACCTGCCCCGCACGACCAGCAAATAAAGACCATCACGCACACTCCCAACTGCAGTACTACTCACCTGGAAACAGGTGGTGAGAGCTCCACAGTGGTGCCAGACTAGTGACCAGAGTAGTATGCCCATCCTGCCCACCCAGATATATTAAAAAAAAAAAAAAAAAAAAAAATGCTGAGTCTGCTTATGTACAACCAAACACCTTGTAGGGTTTGGTTCCTTGGTTTGGAACTGTGCATGTAGAAATTTTTGAAATGGAGTATCTTTGGCTATGTATATTTTCAAAAAAAAAAAAAAAAAAAAACACTGAGAGAAGCAAACATCCAATCAACAAACAAATACAATAACACATTAATGCCTCGAAGACAACAGACAATTTGAAGTCATATAAAGAAGTAGGACAAGATGGCTCAAGCAAGTGATCAAAATGAAGGACCAAAAAACCTTCCTGAGGAAGAAACACTATCTGATAAGGAATTTAAAAGACACATATAAGACTCTCCAAGAGACCAAGGAAAATATAGACAAAACCAAGGAAAACAAAGACAAAACGCTAGAAGAATTCAGGAAAACAATATAAGGACAAAATAGACAAAAGAAAACCATACAAGAACAGCAACTAGAAATCCAGAAGATTAATAAAATCTCAGAAATAGATAACTCAATGAAGAACACAGGAGTAGAACTGAATCAATGGAAGACAAAGACATAAAAGACAAATCCCTTGATAGTAATTTGTTTGAGGAACATTCAGAAAAAAAATGAAGAAAAATGAAGAAAGCCTAAGAGTTATGCGGGACACTATCAGAAGGAATTATTTACGTGTGATAGGAATTTCAGAAAAGGAGGAGACCAAAAAAAGCACAGAGAAAATTTTTGAAGATTTGCCGGCATCAAACTTCCTGAGTATTATGAAAGACAAGAAGATATCTGTCCAAGAAGCTCAACGAACCCCATACAGGACAAACCCAAAAAGAAAGTCACCAAGACATATCATAACCAAACTTTCCAAAATCAAACACAAAGAAAGGATCCTGAGAGCAACTCAGGAAGAGCAAACTGTCACCTACAATGGGAAACCAACCAGTCTCTGATTTCTCAGCAGAAACCATGTTGGCAAGAAGGCAATGGGATGACATATATAAAACTCTGAAAGAAAAAAATGCCAACCAACAATTACATATCCAGCAAAATTGTCCTTCAAATACAATGGCAAACATTATAGACAAGTATCCTTTGTGAATATAGACGCAAAAATTTTCAACAAAATTCTAGCCAACAGAACTCAACAGCATATCAAAAAATACATCATGTAAGTGGTATCTTGGGTGAAGGGTGAGACAGTACACAATACAGGGGAAACTAGCACAACCTGTACAAGGAAAAGTCATGGAAGCCCCATAGACACATCCAAACTCCCTGAGGGACTGAATTGCT